AAAGGCTGCCAAGATGGAGCTCAACTGGGCTAAATCTCAACTTTTCAAACCATCCCAGGAACATGAGATGGTCAGAATCCACTGCGAAATATCACACCCCACTTAAGCAGGGATAGCTTCTAAGGCAACTGATGAACAGTGTTTAAAAAATGTTTCCCCCTCAAGGCTCAGTAGAAGGTGACCCGTTCTGGGATCAGATCCGGGACCAGCTGCTGGGAGAGCCATCCAATGAAACAAAAGCCTGCCATGAACCCAAGCCAATCCTCTTCAGCACAGGAGAGGTAAGGACACACCACTGTGTGCCCTGGGAAGTGCAGAGATTGCTGATCTGGGCTAGGGTTCATCAATCCTTCATAGATCCAAATCCCTAACAGATGTGTTAGGGAGTTACAGACAATGTCTGTGTCAGCTCACATGATGAAGAACAAGAAGGGAGAACAAGCTGCATGGGCTTTAAAGGCATGAAAATAGAAAGCAAGAATAAGTGTCATTAGCTGGCATCAGAATGAGGAGGTGGAAGTTTTTCCTATTTCAGAGCATCTTTTCCATATATCCCAGAAGGAGTGACCACACCTGCTGTTCTAACAAGACCCTAACAAGGGTCAAAAAAATTCCAGATGATCTACCCTGGCCTAACTGTCTGGCTGTGAAACAGCCCTGAGCAGGATCCACAGGGAAAATGCATCAGGTTAGGGAAAGCCAACAGTGCATGGAGCTCATCATTGCCTTGGAGCAGTCTCTGGCTTCAGGACATCCTCTGTTGGTGCTCAGATCTTAATAGCCCTGGGTGGATTTTTCTTCCGTCCTGCCATTGTTTTCTGCTGCTCTGTTGGTCCCAGTCCATCCCCATGCTTAGGGCTGCTCTGTCCAGGACAGGACTTGGTGTTTATTCTTACCGAGTTCTCCCAAAATCCTACTTACAAATTTAAATGAAAATTGATGCCTCGTTTTCCACCTTGGCATTAAGGCAAATGCACTGTAGTGGAGTGGGATCATGTCCAAGGTCCTTTAGAGCACTTAGAGGATGACTCTGGATGATGCATTTCATTGTTATTCCTTTCACCAGTCTCCTTAAAAGCTTTCCTGCTGTCACCTCATTTCTCCTAAAAAGAGGTCCCAGCTCCTCACAACCATCTCCTCCATCCAGAATGGCATTACTGAGAGTAAATTACACTTTATTCTTACGACTTTATCACATGTTATGGATGATCTGGCAGGCCTCCTACTTCTTATGTCCTTCACAATGCTTTGTCATTCATGTTTTGCCCCCTTCAGATCTTGGTGTTCTTAATTTCCTTTTAACAGGCTTCTTCATTTTTATCTAGGTAATTTTTTGTTGCTGTTTTAAGATCAAAATCTGCTGTAGTGTGTGTTTTGGCTGCGGCAATGGTGCTGAGTCTGAGTGTGGTCCCTGCTAAGGGGCAGGTTGAAATCAGAGTTAGGTTGAGCATTCCCTGAGCATCACTTGCCCTCTGTGAGTGCATGGAGTGACAGGCCAAGGGGGAATGTCTTCACACTGCCAGAGGGAAGGATTAGATGGGATATTGGGGAGAAATTCTTACCTGTGAGGGTGCTGAGGCACTGGCACAGGTTGTCCAGAGATGCTGTGGCTGCCCCATCCCTGGAAGTGTTCAAGGCCAGGTTAGACAGGGTTTTGGAGCAACCTGGCCTAGGGGAAGTTGTCCCTGCCCATGGCAGGGGGGTGGAATGAGATGAGCTTTAGGGTCCTTTCCAACCCAAACCATTCTGGAGCTCTGATGAAGTAACTCTCATTTCCCACCATCATTGGGATCGCTGACTTCACTCATACACTTTTGTTCTCCTTGTCCGTTAATCAGCCTTATCCATCCTAACACTATCCTTTATCCATGCTGAGGGGTTTCTAGGTGCTACCCTGACCTTATTTGCCCACTTTGTTTCAAGCTACCCCTCTGACAAAACCTTGTTGAGGTTTTTTTGGCCTTACTCATGGTAATTACATGTGTCATAATCAGACAACTTGCTGCACATGTGGAGGTAAAATACCTTCTCATGTGTTTTACAAATAAATTGAATTTAATGTACAAATAAATTTACAAAGTACACTTATTTACATGGTTTATGACTTCAGGAAGGAAAACACTTCAGCTATTTTTTTTCCTCTTATCCTAGAGAAGTTATATCCACTCTTTTTCCTCCCCTCAGATGACTAAGCCTCGCCCATGGCACCCAGATATCGTGGATGTGCAGATTGTTACCATTGGATCACTAGCAATCATTGCTGTTCCTGGAGAGTTCACGTAGGTATTTCTTTGGTCCTGCTCTGTATATTGCAGCATTTCATTGAAAATACCTGCAACAGTTCTGTGTGCTGGTAGAAGGGGCAGGCAAAAATTGTCCCAAATATCTATGTAACCTCTCCATGGGGATGATTGAGATGCACACAGGCTTTCAAAATAATTTTAACCATACGTTGAAAAATGCAGTTTCAGTGAAACAAAAACTTGTTGGCTTTGATTTTGGTTTTGACACCATGAACACCATGATGATAGATTGCACTGATTGTAGATGGTGCAATTGTGAAAATCTGAATAGGATGATGATTTATCTTTGGCACCTTTATTTCTGCCCAACCCTGGGGTGCCTCCAACCTCACCCTGGCTGTGATGAGGTATGTGAAATGTTTTGAGGTGCTTTGGTTGAGCTTGTTGCAGAGAGACCTTAAGGGATGCTGAGCAGTGTTGGAGGTGCTGTGTGGATTTCTGGTATGTGCTGCATGTGCAGTCAGTGTCTCCTGCATTACCTCCCTTTGCTCTACATCTCCCTGACAGGAGATACAGCCAGGTGGGGAACAGCCTCTTCTCTCAGGCAACTTGTAACAGAACAAGAGGAAATGGTCTCAAGCAGTGTCAGGGGAGGTTCAGGTTGGGCATCAGGAAGAATTTCTTCATGGAAAGGGTTGTCAGGCATGGTAAGGGACTGTTCTGGGAGGCTGTGAAGTCACCATCCCTGGAGGTGTTCAAGAAATGACTGGACCTGGCACTTAGTGCTCTGGTCTAGCTGACAAGGTGGTGATGGGTCACAGGCTGGACTTGATGATCTTGGAGGTCTTTTCCAACCTTAATGATTCCGTGATTCCATGATTTATGGAGCCTGACATTGTTCCCTTAATGCCCTAGGACCATGTCTGGACGCAGGCTACGGGAAGCTGTGCAAAAAGTAAGTTGCTGAGGCAGAAGTTTCTCCAGAGCACACCATATCTGGAACTTCACATTTCCTGAACCTTCTGTTTTTTCCCTTGCCTCCTCCCAGCTGGGGTCATGGGTCTTGTGGGTCACAGATATTTCCTTCTCATAGTTGTTTCAGGCAGATTTTGCATGTGCTTACTGGCATGCAGGAGAAATGAATAACCTCCCCAAAAGAAGCAAACTAATTGAGTTTCAGTCCATTAAGCTAACACAAACTAATTCCACTGGAATCCTGGCCCAACTGATGCTAGCAGGAGTTTTGTCTCTGGGATGGAGGAGTTTAGCTCCTTAATCCCTACCAGGATTCTGCAAAATGAGAGCAATTCCAGAGAAACGGCAAATGTATTTTTTCCCTTTGATTGATACATCCTAGTTGCAGCCTGAATGCCATCCTAATCTCAGGTGCTGTCTCCACAACTCACTGAGCCTTTCTCACAGTTATAGCGCCGAGTTATAAGGAGTATACAGATATCAGATTAAAAAAAACCCCCTAAATTTATAGAATTTACTGGAGTGTGAGGTCACTTGCCCTCTTTTTCTCTGGGAAATGAATATGAGGTGTTAATAAAGGCAAATTGCACTTGTATTTGCACTTATATATGTAACTTTTTATTCTGTCATGGGAAAAAACCCACAACAATAACAACAACAATAAGAATAACAATGACAATAAAACCAACAATGATAACAATGACAATGGCAAAAATAGTAACAATGACAACAACTAATAATAACAATAACAACAATAATAATAACAATGTCATGAGTTTAGCAGTTGCTTCAATGTAAGTGTTTTACTGCCTTTCTTAGGAATTTGATTCCCATGGGGCACCAAGGACACATGTTGTAATTGCAGGCCTGTGCAATGTCTACACCCACTACATTGCCACCTATGAAGAATACCAGGTAAATTATAAAACTGGGAATTGAATGTGTTTAACCAAGTTCAGCTTTTGGCTATGTGGGATGATAATTCATGTGAAATCATGTGTGTTCAATGTGAGTTCTTTGCCACAAAAAGCTGAAAGATTTGGAGCTGTAAGACTGTAAGATGACCATGGACTTCAGTGCCATGGACATGACTGCTTGCAAGGTCCAGTTTTGAGTCCCCACAAGACATAGTAGATGCTGTGCTTTGAGGAAGATGTGGACCATCAGATGGACTCCTTGGGTTTAGAAACCCTAAACTGGGAGGGAAGTTTAGGAGACCTGGAGTTGTTCAACCCAAAAAGTTGGAGGGGAGGCAAGCTGCATGATATGCCTTTAAGATAGTATAAAAGCTGTGATAATGGGAAGAGCAACAATTAGGCCTCCCTGTTTGTGCCAGGTTGGGGTATGAAGAGGAACCTAGAATTGCAGTAGTAATACATGAGCAAGTTGTTGGGCTGTGTCCTAAGCAGTAAGGGAGCAAATGAACCTCTGCATGTATACTGGTGATCTTGTCTTGATGCTGTAGGATAAGGTGTATAAACCACTCAAGTGTCCTTCAACCCCTCCTTTTCCCAATCTGTCCTTTGCTAGGTTCAGCGATATGAGGCTGCGTCGACTATTTATGGGCCACACACCCTCTCTGCTTACATCCAGCTGTACAGAGGACTTGCAAGAGCTATTGCTACGGTAATCAAAATTTTCTATATGCCACATGCTGCTGGAGACATTTCAATCCTGTAAGTGGTGATGGCTGTATTTGTTCCTCAGTGAGGCTGCAGGATTGCTACCCTCTCTTTCCAGAAACCACTTTGAGAAATAACCATGTAGTGTGGAAATAATTCCTGTAATGGGATCTCATACCACTTGAGAAATTCTGGGGGGTTTTCAGTTCAAAATTTAGGAAATAAGTACCTCCAACCTTGCAGGATGGCCTGAAGTTACTGCTTTTCTAATATCAGGAAAAAAATCTGCTATTTTTCCTCCGTACCTGCAATGTTGTGATCATGGGAATGTGCAGGACCAGTGGGCAGGTGCTGCCTCCTGAAGTCATGGGATATTCTGGTGGATGGATTTGGGGGCCCCCAACAACAGGGCATCTGGTATCCTGCAGAATTGCTCCTGCATGCAGAGCACAGATGAAGATCCTCTTGTTTGGCTTTATGCTCACTTTGGTGTTCTTAAGATCTGCCTAAGCAGTGGTCTGGAATATAGAGCCACAGCAGTGATGTGGTTCATCAGGGAGATACTGATTATCTATGTGTTTGTTTAATAATCACATCTTTCTTCTCCCAGAATACCACCCAGGATTTGCCCTGTGGTCCAGAGCCTCCACTTTTCAGTATAGGCAACCTGACCTTGCTGCCTGCTCTCAGTGCTGAACGTGCACCAGCCAATAAGACATTTGGGGATGTGCTACAAGAAGTGAAACAACAGTATCAAGTGGTGAGAGCTTCAGGCATTTGCTGAAACCTTGGTTACTGAAACCTTTAAATTCTTACCCCTCACTGTAGAAGTCTGTGTTCCCTAAAGGGTGGTGGTGCCCTCAGACCAAACAGGTCTCCTGTCTCTTGGTGGGCATGGCTGAGAAGGCAGAGGCAGAGCATTTTCATGCCAATCTCATTGTATTGAATGTGATTAAAGTGGGTGAATAAAAGGGAAAATAAAAGCTTCAACATGAAGCAGATTTCCCCTTCTGCTTTAAAATAAAATAGCAGTTGATTAAATAGGCAAATATTGTACAGTGATTTCTTTACAAGCAGAAATCAGGTCACCTTTGATGCCTCTTCTATGGAATGTAAATGAAATGAAATCAAAATGCCAGAGTGGTTCAGTTTTCAATGCTCAAAATGTAGATAAGATGTTCAGAGCAAGGACTTTCATCTCTTTGCTGTCTCCAGCAGTAAGGCAAGGAGGCATTCTGAAAAATCTCCCGTATTTCCTCCCTCTTTTATGTGCTATGTTGGAACTCATCCAGCAAGCTGAACAGAGTACCAGGTCAAAGCATAAATTGTCCGTTCCTGTTGCAACAAGTGAAATTATCAATAATTTAAAACAACAACAATCCAAACACAACAAAACCCCACCAAAAAAAAACCCCAACCAAATCCCTAAAAGCCTCAAATAGTCCCTTCACAGGATGTTCTTGCTGTGCAGTATGCTTCTCAAGCTAATACAAATCTCCATTTCCCCCACAGGGAGGAGTTGCTGAAGTAACTTTCGTAGGTGCAAACCCCAGGAATTCTGCAGAGAATGCGGTAAATGTGATGCAGGCATGCTGGAATTGGGAATGTCCAGGATTAGGGAACATTTCGTTGCTTCCTTTGCCTGATGCATTTTAGTCTTCGGCATTCAGCTTTCAGAATGAATAAGATCATGTGTTTCCAGTGCCTTTTTCTTTGCTGAGAGTTCAGAAGAAGATAGTTTCTGCCTTTAGCATGAGTTGTGAGAATGCTAAATATTTTTGGGCAGGGCAAAGAAATCGGTTTGTTTGGATACAGGTCATTCAGGACCTCCTCATGCTGAAGATGTTGAAGTTGAAAGGCACTCGTGCTGTGCATTAAGCCAGACATACTTTCTCAGGGATCCAGTACTATCCAGTCATAGCAAATGTGGTCTGTAACCTCCATCCTATCAGCCTGGTGCATTGCTTCAATAAAACAAAGAAAATTAGAAAAGGACTTAATTCTTCCCATCTCTTATCTTGAATAGACACTGATAGGAAGTACCTCACCTGTCCTCTCTCTTTACTCAAGTTCTTTACTTGGTCTTCACATCAGTTATTAGCTTCAATTTGTGCTTTGGCAGTGAAATATGACCATTTTTGCTAGGAATTAACAGTGTTTGCCAATAAAGAACATGTAAACATTGTCCCTTCTTCAGTTTAAAGTGACACAGAAACCAGGGACATGCCTGCACCTTCAGCATCTGGCTAACTCTGTTGTTTGTATTCCAGACTGAACACAACTTCCTGACGGTGGAGAGATATGCCAACATTTCGGACAGCTGGCACGTGGTGCAGAACGATGCCTCCTGGGACACCAGGTGGGTGCCCTGAGTGGATTTCTCTGTTCCACAGGCTCCAGGGAGTGATTTAAGTTTAACCTAAAGGCCTTAATTTCAGAGCTCCCAACTCTAGGTTAGTCTTGACCCTACAGGGATGGACCACTCCAGATTTGGGTGGGCAACTTGCCCAGACCACAACAATTGGTGTACCCCTTGGCTCTAGCATCTGGTTAAATCTCCATGAGTTCATCTGTGAGAAGCCTCTTCCCAGGTGGGATCTGAGCTGCATTCCAGTTCCTGAGTCCCAGGGCAGTGGTTCTGGTTCACCAAGCCTGGAGGGAAGGATGGGGATGAGGTCAGGTGGTGGCACAGACCTACCACAGCAGCATTTTTAGGTCAGAGAACTACAGTCAGGCTCAGGCTGCAGGTCCAGCACAGCTCCCAACAGGGTCAATGTCACACCTACAACAGATTGCCTGGGGCTGTGTTCAGGCAAATTGAGGTAGGCTTCAAGGATGGAGATCCCACACCAGTTCAGGCCTTGTGCTGTCTTCTCACTGTCATCTCCCAAGACAACATCGTCTTTCTCTCAAGGCAAGGCAGTGCAATCCACAACCAAGACCTTTGACAAGGGCAACCAACTACACATATGGACCTTGTGTCAGCCTGTGGTCTCTGTTTACCAAATCAAATCTCCACCCTCACTCACTGGCTCACACCCAGTCATGTTTATTGATATTTATTTCAATCTCTGCTGTGAGACTGTTTTATTACCATTATGAAGAATAAACATGTTTTGTTCAACTCCTTCCTGTAACTGAGGTCCTGGAACGGTGGTGCCAGCTCAGTAGGACTTGACCAGATATAATTTCTGGCCCAGAAACAATTAGGGAGGTGTCTGTTAAGGAATACATATATTGCACGTAGCTGAGTGTGCAGGTAGCTGTGTGTGCAGCTGCAGTGCAAGCTGCAGATTGAGCTGTGGGTGGAGGATCCCCAGGCAAGAGGCCATGAACTACTGATCCTTTCCAAAACAAAGGGCCTGGGGACATGTGGCCCAGACAGGTGACCAGACATAGAGGCACAGCAGGAGCCCACGACACCAGACTTAGACTGTGAGAGGATAAAGCCCACATGTTCCTTTGCTCGGGGTTGTTCTCTTATTTAGTTACTGCACCATGATTAAATTATTTTAAGGGTCTGGACATCTGAGCCTCTGCTACGGGAAACCTGGGGTCAAGCTGGTGAGGAAACCTGGTGTGACTGTGAGTGTGGGGTGTGCAGGGAGCCAAGTAGGGCACCTGTTGCCACACTGGGAAGTCCTTAATAGTGTCAAGCAGTTCCCTTCATTGGCAGTAACAAAAGAAGAGCAGGATAATCTTTGTCATCTTCCCAAGAAATGCTCCATCAGAGCCAGTTGAAAAGACCCTCATGCCCAGATGATGTGTGACTCTCTGCAGAGTTTTGAGATTGAGCAGAAATGGTTTTGCACAAGGAGTCTGCAATAGAAAATGGACTTATGATGTGGAAATGGGTACCTGGGCTCAATAGCAACAGAACTTGTTTGTGACTTTCAATGAATACTCATCACTTGATTTGACATTGTCCCTGCACAGAGAGGACTAAGCTGACAGATATTGCTCACAGAGTTGATGTTGTATGGGGTTGTGACATGGAGCTGGAAATGTAAGAACACACCAGTGGAAATAATCTTAATCTACAAAAAAAGGACCACTGACTTGTTTTCCCATATTTCCAGATATTTTTCAGCCCTGCTGGGTTTTGAGTTGGTTTGTTGGTTGCTGCTCTGATAGCCTAAATATATGAGGAAAGGATGGAAGAAGCTCTTAAAATACACTTTACCAAAGTGCATTTCTCTCATTCTATTTGGTGAGCTCTTGGGATATTAACCAAATGCAAAGTGGATTTTGTTGCTGACTGCAGTGTTTGATTTCCCTGCTAGGTTTTACTGGACCAAAGGGTCACAGGGTCAGAGTACAGTGAAGATTCAGTGGCACATCCCTCACGACACGGAGCCAGGCATCTACCGCATACAGTACCTCGGGCACTACAAGAAACGCCTGTCCCTCTTCCGTACCATCACTGTTCCCTTTGGAGGCACATCTTCAACCTTTGAGGTCACCACTCCATAGGTGACCTCATTCATTGAAGGAATATTTTCCCTTGAACAGCAGATTTGATATCTGGACTGTTCTGTGCAGGGCCAAGAATTGGACTTTGATGATCCTTGTGGATCAACTCAGTATTCTATGATTCTGTGATGTTCTGGGAGGTGTATTTTGTGACATACATGGGTCTATACATCACTGCTGTCCCTTGAGTGCTGCTGGTCCTCCTTTGCTGTGCAAAGCTTGACTTCCTGCAAAGTTTGGGCTTTTATCTGCAGTTCAGTCTCCTCATGTATTGCATTCAGGTGGTTCTGGTCCTGGCCAGACCTTGTTCTTATTGATTCTTATTATAATAAATGATGTAACTTTTTCTTTAGTCATTAAACAAGTGCTTATTGATGGTGAGCAGGCTCTCCCTGAGGGAATTCATGCATATTGGGACATAATCCAGACCATAAAATAGTCCATAAAATTAAACCCAGTCCATAAAAACTGGAAAGAGCTGCTGAATTCACAAGGGATCAGAAGAGAAGACTCCTCAGTCATGTTTGAAGTGCAAAGCTGACCGCTTGGTGGCAAAGGGATAAATAAGATGGATACTTAACAGGAATATTTGAATATCATATCATTTAACCTTTCTGGCCTCTGTAAGTGGTAGAACTGGGGCCACAGGGAGAAGAAAACACACCTTTCAGATCTGGATTTTTGATGCTTGTATGGTCTGACAGATAAACAACTGTAAATGTTTAATAAGCTCCAATAACATGTACCAATTTTGTATGCAATCTCTTTAATTCTTCAGAGAATCATCAAACAGATAATTTTGCCTCTCTTTAAAATCAGTAGGAGAAAATGAATTATTCATTTCGAACCAGCTGCAATCAGTCTCAGAGTTCCCCATTCAGATGAGCTCAAAGCAATCTCAGTATCTAGTCAGGAAAAAGGGAGCTTTGAAAGAATATCACTGGGAATCAAATCCCTTAAGATGCTCTTAATGTCCTTTTCTAACAACTCCCCCAACCGGCCCATTGGCCCCGCTCTCGTCGGCATAGTCCCACTGATGGTAGCATTGTGGTCTGCAGGATACAGACAGCAGCAGGGTATGCTGCTCCAGCATCTCACTGTGCCATGGGATAGACTTGGTCAGGGCAGCAATGCTCTGTGCAAAATGATCCAGAAATTTTCTTGTCCAGTTTGTCCCACTTTGCTCCTGTGTTCATGCAGGACCTTGGGTGGTCTCAGCCCCTTCATACAGGGTCAGAACGTCTATGTGCAACACAGGAACTGCTGTTTGGGCTGAAAGTGGTGCTGCCTGATGAATCCCAGGATAACAATCTTTCTCTCTACTTGCTTACTGTGTAAGCTGGAATAAATTGCACAGCAGTGCTTCTGTTTTCCTAAAGGAAATGCGTCGGGGAAAAGGAATTAGTGTTTCCTTTTTTCCTCACTGCAACGTTTTATTTGATTGTTTCAGATAATTTTGTCTGCATTATTGCATTACACTAACCATGGGGTTTTTTCAGGAGTACTGAACACGTTTAAGCAAACAAAATTGAATTTCACAGTTGAAATGCTTATGGTTAGGATTTACCCTCTAAATCTTGAGTGTCTGACCTCAAAAGAGAGTTTTTGGGAAGCTAGGGGTTCCCATGGGAGAGGAGGTGTTGAGAGCCAGAATTAGGGTATGTGGAGAGTCCTCCCCATGCCCCAGAGCAGCTCCCCTTGTGAGACACCTTGTAGCAGGCTTGTTGCTTTGGCTGTCCCCAGTGAGCACAGGCTGGTTGAAGTTTTGGGGGCTTCATTTGGAACTTTAGATAATTTTTTGTGCCTAGAAAATTCAGCTTCCCCGAATGCCATGGGGAGAGAAGGCTATTGGGAGAAGCCCTCGAGTTTATTTGCTGTTTAACAGCATCGTGGCTGCCAGCTGCTGTTGGCACACCGCGACCAGCAGCTCTTCCCTCCTCCCTGCAATGGTTTCTGGGGACTGTGCTTGGTCCCAGCAGCCACTAGGTGCCAGTGCCGTTTTACACGAGAACGAGCTCAGCGCTGAACAGAGTCAAAGCCTAAGGGGAAAAAAGAAAACTGTTCCGGAATTTGGGCACCTTGCCAGTTGTTAAATATAGCATTACTCATCGCAGTTGCTCATCCCTCTCTCGGGCTGCTCTGCTTCGATGTGTAGCCATTTGTGCCTTGTGGACGTGCTCAGGAGTTGGGCAGAACTCCACCTTTTTATTTTTGTTTTCATGGGGCATGAACTACCATGAACTTGGGAATCTTATTTGTGCCCACAGACTGAGCCACCTCGCAGAGCTCCTTTGCAAACTTGACCATGACATAACTTTCCTCATGTACAAAATCTTATGCCTTCCAAATTTACCAACAGTATTTGGAGCTGCAGAGGAGGTGCTAAATTAGGATCTGACCTGAGGCACTCGAGGGAAAGGGGAGAATCCTCTGCTATCTCTGGGCTTTGATGAAGGCTTTAGGATCTGTTTGATCCTGTGGCTGTCTGGTGCTTTTTTCATGCATCCCACAGAGGATATTTGCGTGCAGCCTCTCTACAGGTCCACCAACAGTTCTCTGATTTTTAACACCTTCACAACTGGGGCTGCATATGCATGAGGTGGGGCTGGGGACCAAGGAATGTCACTTTTACAATGTTTCCCTTAACCAATTCCAAATCTGGCAGTGCACAGTCCCTATCTCCTGCAGACAGCTAGAGCCAGGCCAGGATGAGTGTCTGGGCTTGGAGAGGAGTTGGAGGTGGCAGTTCATGGCCAAGGAGAGAGCATCCAACCCCAAGCATCCCCAAAGGAGAGAGGTTGGTGGGTAGGGGCTGTCCAAGCCCCTCACCAGCACATAAAACCAAGCAGCTGAGAACTACAATTTTAGCCAGGACCAATGTTCTGGGGACACACTATAGTTTCCAGCCCTTGAAAGAAAGGAGTATCCCATCAAAGTACCAAGAGCAGCACCAGGGCCAGGCTGATCCCCAGACAATTAGAGAACAGCAGTGGTTTGTGATCCCTGACTGGAATGTCTCCCTTCAAAGATGGTTTGTGGGGTTTTCTTTCACAAAAAGGAAATTCTGAGCAGGTGTGTGATGGGAGATGAGGTGATCTCTGTGATATTTAGCTGGGCTAGTGGGAAAAGAGAAGCATGCAACATTAAAGGCAAAGCAACTCCCCTTGAAAGTCACTGGAGATGCTATCCCATGGACTTCTTGAGAGGGTTGCAGTGGGACATGAGATAATCTGCAGGTGGATGTTTCAGGGTCTATCCAAATGCAGAGTTTTGTGTCACCCTCAGACATATTTCACCCTTGCTTTGCACCTCAGATGTGAAGCCCTGTACTGCAGAGCAGGCAGGAAATGGCTGCCTAGAAGAAGGGAGATGGAAAATGCAGTTTTTGTATCTCCTGCTCTGAAAGGAACCAAATATGAGGCCATCTGCTGATTTTTATGGGCTACTGAGCTTCTCATCACTTATGCCTCAAACATGTCTTAGACTTGGTGGTGGAGGATGGATATGGCTTTTGGCTTTGTCTTGCTATCCACTGGGAACCCTCATCTTTACAAATGGGAAAAAATGTTGTTTTAAAGTTGGGTTGTGGGTTTAAGATTCCTTGAAAAATCATTCTTGCTTTCCCAAATGGATCAGGCAGCTGCTGCTGAGCAAAGAGTGCTCCGAGAGGGGAAACATTGCAGCACAGAAGTGGATTCTGCCAGTGCCCTGGTTTCAAAGAAAATGAAAGCAGGACATCAGGAAAAGCTAATGAGGAAAGATAATAGAACTGGCAGAGCTGCTGTTCTTGCTGGAGCCCAGAATACAGCTGACCTCTTTGTAAGACTGTAAGAACAATGTCAAGCTATTTTTCTCTTTTTGCTTGGTAGGGAGGTCTTTGGCTGAGTGCTGAGTGCTATTAGTAGCAAGGTACCAGACTTACCCTCCATTTCCTGGGCTCAGGGTCTCTGTGGAAAGGTGCAAAACCAGAACCCCTTGTACTGGCTGTGGAAGCAGAAATTGCTATTGTTCAGCCATTTAATCGTGATGGTCTTCCAAGTAGCAGGTTTTCATCTTAAAATGACCAGGGTTGCAACTGATTTCCCTATGGTCAGCTGGCACTAGGCTCTTCTAAAAGTGGAACCAATTTCTCACAGTCCTAATCATGTATGGCCCCATCTACCCCCTTATTTGTGCATGTTGCTGTTTTGCCATCAATATCACCTCTGAGACACCTCCACTGGGATCAGGTAAGGATCAAAGTTGTTGCCACTGTAATAAATGTGTAGCAAAAGTGACTCCTGTAACACTGATGGGTAAATATTGGCCAAAGAGGTGGTGGTGGGAAATGCTAACCCCTTGGTTTTTCACTTAAAAGTGCAGAAGAATCACACTGCTGATTTTGTGCTGCGTGTGCTCAACGTGTGTCACCAAAGTGCATGTAGAGAACACCCTCAGCACTGCCGAACAGCTTGTGACCCTGCTTGTCTGACCCCAAATCCATCCCTGCAGAGCAAAGTGTGCTCTTATTTGCCACACACAGGATGAAACTCAGGGTATTAAAGGACAGAGGCATGTGTGTTGGTTTAAAAAGTTTTAATGATATTTCAAAGTCCAGTGAATGTCCTTGGATTACTCTAAAATTACAGATTTGCTTCACAGAATGTAATCCCATTTATAGCTTCCTTGTAAGGGATGATTGAGATGCCATTTTCACTTCATTCTATTTAAACATACACCATTGTCCTCCAGTAAATGGAAAGTGTGATTTTTCACTACACTTTATAGTGTTAAAACTCTATACAAATATTGTACTATGTGTACAAAAATAAGTGCTTCATGCACACACTTTTTAATACTGTTTCTTGCCCTTTTCTTTGACATCTTACTGAACTTATATAAATAGCTGAAAAAGCAAACCAAAGTTACTGAACATGGAAAGTGAGAAACACTTTCTGCCAACGGTGGTCTTTTAAAGAGACACACTCATGGGTATGTTACTTGTTGGCAATCAAACATGA